TTTTTGCAGTGGGGATTTTCAAAATAAATGCCTGAGTGTGTTTAAGCTGATTTTCTGGGTTTAGTGTTTCGGGGAGTAATGAAACAGAGCTGTGAGAAGCACAGATGTTTGGTTCCAGAAGAGCACCAGTCAACTCCCTGCAGAGGAATGCCTCACTGGCACGAGGACCATGGAGTACTCTTTTCTTATAAAATATAATCACATGTTGAAGAATTGGACATCATTTTATTTCCACAGTCAATAAAGACATTCCATTAAGGAAATCTCATGTGAAAAGAAAATGTAGAGCCCCCCTCCCCTGTCCAGAGCAACACATGAACAATGAATCTCTGACTGGCTGGTCTGATGGTCTTCTTTTTCTGTATATTGATGGAATAATAACATGCTGAGAGAATAAACTTTCATACATTTGTTTCTAATAAACTAGTGAAACAAATTAGAGTGACGTGTAATCATCACAGGTACTGATAAGAGGGAAATTATTTGACCTTAAATACAACTAGGTCTTTTCTACAAATTGGGATATTGTTGCTTTTAAGTCTAAGATCCTTGAAGTTAAAGGAATAGTTTAACATTTTGGGAAATGCACTTATTTGCTTTCTTTCTGAGAGTTAGATGAGAACACCAATAGCACTCCCATGTCTGTATGCTAAAAGTGAAGCTAAAGCCAACAGGAGATTAGGTTAGTATATCATAAAGACTGAAAATAGCAACACAGTCCTGACCCTCAAGTAGCTAGCTTGACTCTGAACAAGTAGTTTGAGCTAGCATCATAATGTGTTCACCATGACAATTGTCACATTATGTTTCAGAATTATGATGTTTAGCATGTTCACCATCTTAATTGAGCATGTTAGCATGCTGCCATTAGCTCATTAGTATTAAACACAAAGAACAGCTGAGGCTGACCTGTCATTCATTTTTCAACCAAAGAACTGAACACGTTGAAATTTTGACCTGATGATGGCGCTAGATCGAAAGATAAGGCATGACCAGATTTATTACAATTCATCCTAAAGGGGGATTTAAATGTTTGTACCAGCTGTTACTTGACTGTCCATCATAAAAATCACAGACAGTTGAGGCGGAGCAGCCAGGGGACACCAGAGGGAAAAGAAAACATTTTCTCCATAAAATATGATTCAGTAAATCAAAATGATCTTGAAGCTGTTATTTTAAAGGTCCAGCGTGTAGCATTTAGCGGCAGATTGCAACTCCCTCGCTTCACCCTCCCCTTTCCAAGCAAAACATTTGTGTACGAGCATCATATAAATTATTTCCAAATCATCTGTCTTTAGTGCGGAAAAGAAAAAATGTGCTGTTCATCATTCTGCATTCAGACCTGCATTCCATACAGCTTGTTGTCTGTTTCGTACACCTCCCTGTTTGGCTTGTCTCAAAGATTAGTCGAAGTATTGCCCCCTGCATTTTATCCCTCGGAAATCCCTTTCAGGTACAGTAAGATCTCTTAGGCTGCATGTTCAGCACAGTGAACCGAGCTGTCCAACATCTCCAGGAGGCCATACTATCCCTCCATATATCTCAGGCTCTTCACCCCCTCAAAGAGGAAGACATTAGCCCCACTATTCACTGCTATTGCTTTTATTTTTTATTGCCCACATGTTTGTGAGTCCTACACCTTGAGGAGATATTTTATTCGCTGCAAAGTTATGCAGAAAATGTATCTGGCTCACAAGCCGACCTGTAGTCATGTGGAAGGTATGTTTTTGCAGCTGACATTCCAACCTGATTTCTTAGGTCAGTTTCTTGAACAGTTAACTCCACCCCTAACACACACACACACACACACGTATAGACACACATTTTTATCACAACCTCAGTGCACAGACTGCATATTTTCACATCCAGGGTTCGGATATGTATGCCCATAAAGGACATAGTGTTGCCTTATTGTCTGAATACATCTTCTTCCAACAAGTGTTTCAGGAGCCAAAGGATCATTTGTTCAACGTTAAGATCTGTTTAACCACAGGAATTTAGGCAGGCCCATATTGATCAAGCCTTACAAAATGTGTCCATTACATGTCCCACATTAGTGTCTAAAACAATATTTCCTTGCATGAGAGGAGACTCATGGTTCCTGTATTGCCTTGCCAATGTACTTAACACAGAGTACAGTTTGTCCAGAACATTTAGGCTAATGAAGTCTGATGTATTGTTTTAATTTGTAAACTTAATTTATGTATTTTCAACCTTGGGAACACTTTTATAGCGGTTTTAACCTTATCATTTCTGAAAGGGTATTTAATAGAACTGCTCTAGTGGTTTTAGTGAGACAGATTTATTAGTGATGTACCAGTATGTTGCATTTCTGTGTCATTTTTGTTTTGCAATGTACCATGGTTCCCCTTGCAGATAACTGGCCAACATAAATAACACAGCTATCTACAATGGAAAAAGATACCAGAAACCTTTCCAGCTATCTAAACCATCAACTATAAATGTCAGACATTGGTGTCAATCCAACAGGAATACCTTCAGGGAAGTTTCTCCACCATCCAACAGCAGCCTCGGTAGCTCAGAATCAGATACAGCCACAAGACATGTTACATTTTTATTGACATTCAAGGATGCAATCTTACACAAATGTTAATGTTCACTTATTGGTTGTCATTCTGTGAAGACTTGGAACTTAGAAATCAAAGAGGAAAACTATAGTTAAATAACCTCAGGTAGAAAGAAAATACATTTTTGTGAAATTATTATGATTCCAGATATCAAAGAGTGGATTTTTCTTTTGGTGACCTGGTGGTCTGGAGGTTAAAATGCCAACCATGAATCACAGCCTTCCCTGTTCATGTCTGGCCCATAGACCCTTTCATTTGTTGTTTTTCCCTTCATTTCCTGTCATCTCTCTTCTGTGTTCCTCTAATAAAAGCCTAACAAGTCCCAAAAATAAAACTAGTGAAAAATAGATTAGTATCAGAATGAAGACCACCCCAAATGAGGTGATCTGGGTGGTGGAAATGTTCACCTGTAACCTGTCATGGTGTTCAGGAGTACACTGCATTGCTGCAGCAAGATAAGCCAGTGGAGGTGAAAGGGTAATTTCTAATTATTTACACTTGCATTTAGAATTACTCAGCCAAAGTTATCATAAAAAAGTATTCAGACCTGTTGACGACAAGTTCTGTGTATTATGATGAGATTATTTCTTGATATTGCAGCTTTCATTGTATTTGGGTGTCATTGTAGTTTCAGAGGTAAAAATCATCTTAATGGTTAGTTTGTACATAAGTTTGGGTGACGAGAACACTTTAAGGACATGGGAATAAGCAGTACTCTAAGCAGAAGGCAACACAATCAAAGACATTCAAATATTTCCTGGCCACAGTAAGTGTGAATAGAGTAACACTACTGTGATAACTCCCTGGGTGGTGTTTCAGACCTGCTGAAGCAGACAACAACAAAATCATGTATTTCCTCCTTAATAAAAATTACAGCTCAATTACAGGTATTGAATAGCAAGACACACTAAACACTAGGACAATTTAGTGTGTCAACAAAGCAATGTGGCAACATTTGTGTATGTGTCATACCTAATCAGGTCTGTGATCGATCATTTTATGCACTGTTGTTGTTGGCGGCATTTTCTGACTTTTTCTCTACCACAAGGTTGGTTCAAAGGAATATCTTTTTGAAACACATGCAGGCCTACATCAATTTCTCTGGTTTTCTCTCCATATAATGAAGTCCTCATGCTGTTTTCCATTGAAGCCTTGTTATAATTGATGTAGATGCTTGACTCCAGCTTATTCTTGTGGTGTTCAGTTATGGAAACTATAACAATTTTATTATGATTTATGGGCAGACAGGGAGAGGCTGCAAAGACAAATACCAAATACATTACATTTACTTGGTGACATTGGTGCATTCTCATGAGCCAAGTCATAAAAAAGAAATAAAAGCAAGAAAGCAAAAGCGGTTCTGTTTCATATTGGCTGCCAAACTCCCAAGTTTGTTCTGTAAATTGGAGACATGATTAGGAGAGCTAAACAAAAGAATGTAAGATTTATCTTTATTTGTTTGAAGAAAAAGACATTTATTAGAAACCTGAAAAGCCTGCCTTAAAACAAGTTTATGGTAAGTAAAATCAAACATAGAACGGTGTGTCATCAACGTAGAATTAAAACATTGTTTTGATTATAACCTGAACAAGTGGGAGCATAAAAACAGCAAGAGGCCGAGGACTGAACCTTGTGGAACACCTCTTTCAAAATAAGCAGATAAAGAGGGGACAAGAGATGAAAGAGACAAAGGAGACAATATTTAAAACATAATAAAACGAGCACAACACAAGAATCATTAACAACAAAAACACAATTACAGGTTAAGTTCAGTTTTAAATGGTACAAGAAAAACATGTACTATACATATAACGTCAGATCTACAACAGGCAGTTTTAAACCATTTATAAGGTTAGGTATAGCTAATAAATTCAGTTTATCACTGTTTCTAAGTGTGTTTGGCATTTTGTCTGGAATCCCACAGAGAACATAACTCTGCTACAAGACTGATCCAGATGCACAAGTCAGACACGCCTACTGTTCGGTTACCTTATACAGCTACATACCAGGGTAAATTGGACACTGTTTGGAGATGAATTTTTTTGAAAATTAAATGCTAAATCAAGACATGTGATATGATTCTTTGTTGATTTCACCTATTAAATTGATTAAGTCTTGGAGGAGAAAATGCACTGAGGATAAGAGACAAAATGAGGGAGGAATTCAAAGCCACAAATGAGACAAATGAGGCTTGGCATCCAGAGTGAAGAGGCAGGAAAGGAGAAATGAGTGAGAGGTGAGATGAGTGTGAAAGAAAAAGAGAATCAGGGAGGGAGTTTAGCTGAGCGTGAGAATGACTGAAAATGGCTAAACAGAGGGTGGGAGGGAAAGACGGTAAGACAGAAAAAGAGAGGTGGTGGTGGAAGTGAGTGAGTGAGAGATGGGCAGGGAGGTATAAAGAGAGGGAGGGAGTAATATAAGAGAGGCAGCCATAGAGGGAGAGGTGACAGAGTAGATTATCCTCCTCTCCTCTCCTCCTCTCTGCCAGCCTCATCATGTTCATGCTGCAGATGTTGACTGTTATCTCTCTGACTGTTATTCTCCTAGCATCTGTGGAAGGTAGGACACAACCACTCTTACTATGTTTGTGTGTGTGTGTGTTACTG